GCGCATGGAAGCGGCTCGTCGGATGCTCCCGCGGGACCCACGTCACGCTCGCCCTCTGCCCTAGGCTCGTGGGAGATCGACCCGAAGGATCTGACGTTCCTGAAGGAGCTGGGCACGGGGCAGTTTGGAGTGGTGAAGTACGGGAAGTGGCGAGGCCAGTACGACGTCGCCATCAAGATGATCCGGGAGGGCTCCATGTCCGAGGACGAGTTCATCGATGAAGCCAAAGTCATGATGTAAGCGGGGACCAGCCGCACGTCCGTGCTGGAGAGGCGCCTCCTCAGAGGGGCGGTGGGGACAGCTGGGGACAACCTCACGCTCTGCAAAGCGCGTCCCTGCTGCATCCGTGGTGCTGAGCTCCCCAGCGAGTTTTTCCACTGGCTGCCGGGTCAGGAGCACCCAATTCTCCCCATCCTTAGCCGGAGCTGCTCCTCCTGCTGCTCGGCTGCTGGGTGCTCACGATTCCCCTTCTCGCTCCCCACGCAGGAACCTGTCTCACGAGAAGCTGGTTCAGCTCTACGGGGTGTGCACCAAGCAGCGCCCCATCTTCATCATCACCGAGTACATGGCCAACGGCTGCCTGCTCAGCTTCCTGCGGGAGTCCCGGCAGCGCTTCCAGCCCGCCGAGCTGCTGGAGATGTGCAAGGATGTGTGCGAAGCCATGGAGTACCTGGAATCCAAGCAGTTCCTGCACCGAGACCTGGTAGGGACGTGGCTGGAGGAGACACCTCCAACACTGGGACAACCACGGCGCTTTCTAGACGGGGTCCAGCTCGCCCAGCAGCGCGGCACAGCCCGGGTGCCCTTGTGGCTCCTGTCCAGCCCGTGCCCTGCGGCGGGCGCAGTTTTTAGCTGTGAGCGAGCGCAGGGCTTCAAACCCAGCAGCACTGGTGGGTATCGGGGGACAGGCAGGAGCAGGGACCGCCTCCCTCTCTCCTCCCGCAGGCTGCTCGCAACTGCTTGGTGAACGACCAGGGAATTGTGAAAGTCTCCGACTTCGGCCTCTCCAGGTCCGCGTCTGTGTCGCTTCTCCTGTTCTAATCCCACGTCTCCTCCTTTGGTCTCTTCTGGACTTCAGTCTTCTTCCCCCAGCATCCACCAGCTCCGTTTCTTTCTCTGCCTTCCCCCATCTTTGCTCCTTCCCTTTGCCTCAGCCTTCTGCCTGCCACTTCCCACCCTCCCGTCTCACTTCCCTCCTCTCTCCCCATCTCCTCTCGCCTTTTGCTTCTTCCTTCCCCCATCTCCGGTCTCCTGACTGCAACTTTTTGCCACGTGCTCCTTTTGCCTCTTGCTCCTTTGCCTCCCTAGCCCCTTTCCCAACGCCCAGCCTTGCAAGGAGCGGGTTGTGCCCGTTGATCCACATCTGGAATGCAAACGGACGCCTCTGAAGGCGGTTGCTTCCTTCTGGGCTTGGGTGCACGGAGGGTGAAATGGGAACGCCAGGACAGGCGCCCCGAGCCATCCCTGTGCCGCAGGTACGTTCTGGATGACGAGTACACGAGCTCCATGGGCTCCAAGTTCCCAGTTCGGTGGTCGCCCCCCGAAGTCCTCCTGTACAGCAAGTTCAGCAGCAAGTCGGACGTCTGGGCGTTTGGTGAGAGCACGGAGTGACCTGGGCGTCCGGGAGCCTTGTCACCCATCACTGGGATGGCCTCGGTCACCAGGACAGCCCTGGTCCCCGAGATGGAGCCTTGTCACCCATCACCAGGACAGCCCCAGTCACCAGGACAGAGCCTCGTCACTGGGAGGGTCCTGGTCACTGGCATGGAGCCTTGTCACCCATCACTGGGATGGCCTCGGTCACCAGGACAGCCCTGGTCCCCGAGATGGAGCCTTGTCACCCATCACCAGGACAGCCCCAGTCACCAGGACAGAGCCTCGTCACTGGGAGGGTCCTGGTCACTGGCATGGAGCCTTGTCACCCATCACTGGGATGGCCTCGGTCACCAGGACAGCCCTGGTCCCCGAGATGGAGCCTTGTCACCCATCACCAGGACAGCCCCAGTCACCAGGACAGAGCCTCGTCACTGGGAGGGTCCTGGTCACTGGCATGGAGCCTTGTCACCCATCACTGGGATGGCCTCGGTCACCAGGACAGCCCTGGTCCCCGAGATGGAGCCTTGTCACCCATCACCAGGACAGCCCCAGTCACCAGGACAGAGCCTCGTCACTGGGAGGGTCCTGGTCACTGGCATGGAGCCTTGTCACCCATCACTGGGATGGCCTCGGTCACCAGGACAGCCCTGGTCCCCGAGATGGAGCCTTGTCACCCATCACCAGGACAGCCCCAGTCACCAGGACAGAGCCTCGTCACTGGGAGGGTCCTGGTCACTGGCATGGAGCCTTGTCACCCATCACTGGGATGGCCTCGGTCACCAGGACAGCCCTGGTCCCCGAGATGGAGCCTTGTCACCCATCACCAGGACAGCCCCAGTCACCAGGACAGAGCCTCGTCACTGGGAGGGTCCTGGTCACTGGCATGGAGCCTTGTCACCCATCACTGGGATGGCCTCGGTCACCAGGACAGAGCCTTGTCACCTGTCACCGGGACAGCCCCAGTTACCAGGACAGCCTCGTCACCCATCACTGGGACAGCCCCAGTCACAGAGCCTCATCACTGGGACAGACCTTGTCACTAGGATGGAGCCTTGTCAACCGTCACCAGGACAGCCCCAGTCACTGGCCTCGTCACCCATCACTGGGACGGCCCCCGTCACCAGGATGGCCACAGTGACCAGGATGGAGCCTTGTCACCAGTCACGAGGACGACTCCGGTCACAGGGACGGCGCATTGTCACCCTTCACCAGGATGGCCCCAGTTTTGTGACAGAGCCTCGTCCCCGGGACAGCCCAGAGCACTGGACAGCGCCTCATCCCCATCCCCGGGACCTCCGGCTCCTCGCGGGGAGCCTCATCCCCATCCCCGGGACACCCTGCTCCTCGCGGGGGGCCCCATCCCCAT